AACTTGTAGCTTTGTAGAGAATTAAATGGCGTTTGTACCACAGAGTTTCTCTAGCTTCTTGTTTAGAATTTTCTGTCTCTTTTCTGAATTAGGAGGACCCTATTTATAGTTTTAGAATAGAGGAGTTGTGATTGGAATAGGATTCCATTCAGCCAATCAGATTAAAGTGACATGGCATTTGGGCTTTATGGAGCGGGCTTGTCATCTTTGACACATGTCATGATTCTATTGGTTTTCTTATTTGACTTGGCATGCCACATCATCTGCACACGTGGCGCCAAGATGGGCTCTAGAATGAGATGAGATTGGGTTTAACAAACTGGGTTCATCCAATGTAGCCCAAATCAATTAATTTAGACTTTAATTAAATCCATATTTATTGGACTTAAATATTTAACTCAATTATATCAATCCACAATATTTATTTGGATTAATATATTAATGAATTCAATATAATCCGAATCATTTTATAAATTTATATTTTATAAATTTTAAATGATTACAGTCTGTCTATGACAAAATAATATAAACAGAACTAACCGATAAAAATTCTAATATTTTGAGAGAAAAGGATAATTATCAACAAGTTCCATTAAAGTGACAAGACACGTATTTTGAACTATTTAAAAAATAAAATACTCAAAAAGTATTAATTTTAGAACTATTAGACAAAAATTTGGTGTCAACAATTATAAGAAAGGATCTTCTGTAACAATTAATATTAGTGATTCGCATGTTATTTATACTACTTTTAACAGGATTTCATTGTTCGATAATATAATAGTCTTCTCATGTTAGCATACTCTTCAACTATATCCATATACTATTCACAAATGTCAAGGGTGCATGTAAAATTTGCCAAAAATCGTGTATTCTTAGAGAATTTGACACGAATGCGAACGTGCGGGTCAAAAATAAAGAGTATGCGCAACTTAGATGTCCACTTCATAGATGGCTATACATTATATTAACATGATATGTTTTGACCTTTAAAAATTTGATTTACTTTTACTGAAGATAGTAGGTATCTATTGTAAACATGGAAACACATAATACAGTTTGAAATTTGTTATACTGAACAAAAAATGAAGGTAACTTCTTTACTATTCTTGTTCAATATGCTTAGTTATGACATCCAAAACTCACGTTTCCTGTTCCATGTTGTAATTAATTTTCTTTTCTTGTATTTACACTTGATTACAATTGGATGTGCGTACTATAGTGTGCATCGGTGCATTTTTATGTTCTCTGCCCATTGTTGTTAACTTAAGTGATTCATAGTAGACATTTAGTATCTTGACACTCAATTTATTTGCAAATTTTTAGAGGCATGACACAAACTTCAAGTTATGGAACTAATAATTTAGGTTGGGTTATAGAGCGGGATGATCATGATAAACGAGCTTCTTAGTGAAATGGTAATTGAGATTCAATATTGAGAACACTACTTTATGGAGAAATGTTATCATATTAAAGCATGGACAATCTAATGAATGTGTTTCGTCGTATTAGGATACTTCTTCTATAGTAAGTCATCATTGAAGGATGTAAAAGTTATCAAGAACAGGTTGTCACTGAAGATTTTAATTTGAAAGTTAATTTTCTAGAGATGTTTACAATTTTCTTCTGTGCAGTTGCTACAAAAGAATTAGACAAGTTCGACTTTTCTCATGGTGAGTTACTCTGAAGTTTTCTGTCTCATATTTTGATGAGTACTCACTACTTTTGTTAATATAATTATATCTAAATATGTTGGTAATGTCATCTATACCTTTGTTTTTTGTTTATTTTTTTTAAACTTAGACATGTTTGATATTATCTTTTGTGTAGTTGCTACAAAAGAATCTGACAAAATCTCTCTTTCTTCATGCTAAGTTATCCTTTTCTATACAAAATTGCTCTTTAACTTTCCAACTGAATTTCTACCAACTTGTAGCTTTGTGCTTTTCCTACATTACACCATTGTAGAATCTTAACTTTAACTTTGAATTTAATCTCCATGTTAATAATTTCAATATTATAATAATGTTTCATACCTTGATTTACACTCTTTCGACTTTATATATACAATCACCAGACATCATGAAAACTCAAGGAAAAGAAAATAGAGTAATACATAAATCATAAACCGACTCAATGTAATCAATACCAACTTTACACTTATGTTATATTCGAACGAAGATCAGATTTTTCATGCATTTATGCTCAAAGGGAAAACTGAGATTACTCTTTTCCATTATTTAATGATGCCAACGCATTCTATAGTGGATAAGCATTTTCCCTACAAGCCTAATATTGCATCTCACTATATTTTATATTCTATGCAGTGGAATTAAATAATTATAGGTCATACAATTAAATAATGATTACTATTTTATATTTGGAATTATTTTAACTATAGTGATGTAACATGTGTGTGGTTCCCTTTTTAGTAAATTTTTTTAACTATCTTTTCATAAACTTCGTATTTTTAGAAAAATAAATGTAGACAATAATAATAATTTGGTTTTAAAAATTAAAATTTTAATAATAATTTAGTAATTTAAAATTTAAACTTTTAAAACGTGTGTGCGCGCGCGCGCGTGCGTGCGTGTGTGCGTGCTTGTGTGTGTGCGCGCGTGTGTGAGCGTGTGTGCGTGTGTGTGTGCGCGCGTGTGTGTGCGTGTGTGCGTGCGTGCATGCGCGCGCGTTTGTCTGTGTGTGTGTATATTCGTGTGTGTGTATATATATATATATACATATATGTATAGACACGAATTTCTCTGAGACCAAAATATTCCTCTTATGCTTTAGAAGAATTTTTACCTTTTTAAAATTTATGCACAAAGCAGTTACAACAGTTACATAGTCAGTTACATTTGACATGTGTCCAATACTTGTCATGACAGAATTTAAACTAAGTCTTACAACTATAATTTTAACAGATAAATTATATTTCAAATTCAAATACCTTTTATGCTTTAGCATAAATTACAATATTCTAACACTTAGAATATTTCAGCCTATTTCCGGCACTTAGAATATTTCAACCTACTTCCAACACTCAAAACATTTCAACTAACTTTGAACACTTAGAATATTTCAACCTGCTTCTAACACTCAAAATATTTCAGCTAACTTTCAATACTTAGAATATTTCAACATGCTTCCAACACAGTTTTATTTCAACAACTCTATCAACTCATGTTAACACTTGTGAATGCCTTTGCCTTGTCATCGTCAAGTCTCACATTGTTGCCTTGTCAAGCTAACACATTGCCTTATCTTGCGATGACTCTGCCCACACGTAAGCCTTGTACGTCCAAGCTTCCTTGCCAACACCCAAGCATCTTGAACCCTTTGTTGCCCACTAACTCTCAGTTGTACAACTACATTGTTTTGACCACGTATATACCAAGACAAATGCCCAAATCCTTATCATGCTTGCACGTCATTTGCTTAGTTAGACTACAGATCTAACAGACCACCCACACCACCTGAACTCGATGTCCTCATTGATATTATTTTGAGATACTCATCGATTTGGTCATTAAACTAGCATAAGTCCTTGGCTTTCTCCCAGACTGCATCAGTTGTGTTCTTACTTTTTCAATGTATCAAGAACTCAATTTTCGTGTAATCTTATTTGTGCCCAAAATCCAGTGATCAAGGATCTTCTCTATCTCAGCATCAAATTCTGTAGGTATAGATGAAGGATCCCTCTTTGACCTGTTCCTATTTGGATCATCTACACCTGCAATTTAAGGTTTCAATAAACTCGTATGAAAAATACGATGAATTTTTAACCTTTCTATAAGAAACTTCACCCACTATTTTAACCACTTCAAACGGACCATTGTATTTAGGAATCAAACTCTGATGTCTAATTTTACTTACAATCTATTGTCAGATTAAGTTTCAACAACACTTTGTCACCCACAGTGAACTCTAATGAGTCACGATGTTGATCAACATATTTCTTCATGCACCGCTGAGCCTTACACAGACTGCCTTGTGCTTCAAAAAACATTTCAAGTTTGTTCCCTATACACTGTGCGCTGCTGGACACTTCCCATGATTTTTGGTCTTAACAACATCTAATTTGAAAGGGCTCATCGTTGTTGCAGACGACTTATGCATATTATAGCAAAATTGCACAATGTCAAGCAAAACAACCCAATTTTGTTAACTTGATGTCACATAGTGCCTCAAGTATTCTTCTATTAAATGATTAATCCTCTTCGTTTGTCCATCTGTTAGTGGGTGGTTTTCAGTAGAGAATTTCAACTTGGTTTCCATTATATTGAACAAAGTTGTCCAAAACCTTCCTGTTAACCTTGCATCCCTATAACTCATAATATCAGCTGGAACACCAAAGTACTTAACCACATACTTATAGAACAATTCAACAACAATTTCAGATGAACAAAAGATATGTTGCAACTTCCTTTATACGTTTAGTCTTGTCCACTTGACAGATTTGACAAGTCTTCACATACGCCTCTATATCATATTCCATCTTTGGCCAGAAAACGGAATAACAAAGCTAACATTCTTTCAACACCCGGATGACCAACCCAAGTAGTATGATGTGCTTCCTTCGTTAAGTCTTTTGTGCAGTCCACCGTCATTTGGTACCACGATCCTCTCCCCTTTAAAATGAAGTAGACCGTCCTCGATCATGTACCACTGATAGTCTCACCTTGCACTTGACTCATTCGTTTGAAATATAATGAATCGTTCAAAGCACATAACCCGATCCTATCAAGAAATTCAATCTTAAGTTTTGAAATAGAATACACAGCAACAAATACCTCCGTTTGACTCAAAACATGAACGACTTGGTTGTGTTTTCCCGACTTATGCTCCCACAGAAAGTCATATTCAACCAGAAATTCCTGTCATCTTGTTTGTTTTGGACTCAACTATTTCTGCGTCTCAATGAATGTATTAGCAACATTGTCAATCTGCACCACAAAGCGATTTCCAAGCAAATATACTCCCTTAACCTACAAGCAATGAACAAGAACAACCATTTCTTTTTCATGAGTTGAATATATATATATACACACACACTAGGCATCAGTTGCCCGTGCAAGCACGGGCCCAATGTTTCTAAATTGTGTGAGTCGAATGTAAGAAAAGTGCATACATAGAGTCATTCTACAATATTTACATAATGCTGCAGTGTATTTACATAATGTTGCATTTCAATAGTGTTACTCAGCGCTAGATAGAAAGTCTCTGTGAAATAAAAGGAAAAATGAATTTAGTATGTCGTTATGCGGAGGAGTAAATGAGAAGTATAGTACTGAATTATTTAAGAATTCGTGATTGATTGCAAGATCTAAGTACCTGTTGATTTCCAAGAAGTAGGCAACAAAGTCCACGCTATCAACAACAAAATTGTATGCCTTCAACAATTGTAGTAGTTGAGTTAGACAAAAAAGTGTTGCCAACCATATTGCAAAATATTGGTATATACTACACAGATAACAAAAGGAGAAAACATTGGTTGTAGAACAAATAAAGTATTGACAAAATATATGATTGTTTAGCTATTGCAGATTTTTTTGTCGTAGTGATGAAATATATAATAATTTATTTCAAAATTTAATTATTTTAGATAAATTGTTCTCAACAAAACAATTCTAACTAAATCTCCATTATGTTGGGCTCATGTTGGGCCCGTGCTTGCACGGGCTAATCTCTACTTAGTATATATATATATATATATATATATATATATATATATATATATATATATATATATATATATATATATCATTCAAGAGTGAGCCAAAGTTTGAATGTAATTCCTTTTTATAGTCACGAAGAGATGAACAAATAAGGAAAAGAATTAAAGGGAATCAATTAATAATAAATAAATAAGGTTTTCCTTATTGAAAAGGAATCGAACAATAAAGAAAAGGGTAATTTATTATTATTATTATTATTTTACCAAAATAGAATAGCACCAAATTAAAACACAACGATCAGATGACATATTAGTTTAAAGAGGGCCAAAATTATGCATCAATGACAATATTTACTTAATCATGGGTTACTATAAATATGACAAGTACGAATCAGTCAAGACAAAAAATTAAGGGAAGGAGGGATCAATTTACAGCACTATTAACACAGTGGTTTAGCAATAAAATTAGACTCGCTTTTTTTATTTAATAATTTAAGACTTACGATAAAGATACCAACAAATCAAATCAATGTAAGCATAATTAAAGCAAGAATAACAGTAAGACTAAATCACAGCTTAAATACTCAATTCAACCAGTTAAAGGATTATTAAGTTTGATATATTTACCCTTTCTTCTAGAGCAACAAATATGGTGAAGTCTGTCCATAGAATCATGCATATGTATCAATAATCAACGGAAATCCGCATGATTAATTTGGAAAATAGAACACAACAGATTTCTATTAATTAATAATAAAGCTAAAATAATTTTACAAGTGTATCAAACCAAACAAATTTATAAAAAAAAATAACCCGCTATATAACCAAACAAATGGAACTCATATGTATGGGATAGCTAAGCTTTACAAAACTCGAAACATAAGACTAAGTTAGTTCACCTTAAAAAAAACATGACATCACAATTTTACAAAACCATAAAGAAATCTAATGTATGGTAAAAACCAGAATAAAAAGCAAACATCAATGGACATACCCATAGCTCAAATTCTGGTATAACCCTAAACTTAACACTGCAAGTGAAAATAAGTGTAACAATTCAGCAATGCAGAAGAACTAAAAGAGACCCAACAAAGTGAATGTTAACAGACAAAGCATAGTAGAAAACTAACGATTGAGAACAAAGAAGTCAATAAGCACAAGAAACGTCGAGTGTAGTCGAGTGAACTGCACGTGTCTTGAATAAAGTGAATCATCAGACTAACTGTCTAGAAATGGTAACATTTTGTCGTGTTTATCTGTACTTAGAGAAATAAAGACTGTTGAAAAATTAAAATTGAACTAATTGCAGCTATTCTCACGAACATACGCAACATGAATAACGGATAATGTATTTAAGCAAACGACAAGTAAGTTCCTAACGTGAAGTCATTTAAATCTTTGGCAGCTTACAATCTAGTATTTGATTTAGCTTCTGTTGGCAGACATAATTTCATCAAGTGCAAGAAAAATATCTCAATGATATTCCACCATTTGGTACCTCAAAGACCATGTCCTAAATTTTTTTAAAAAAACTTAGCTACACCTTTGAAATAATAGTTGTAATTCATAGCACCAGCTGCTGGAGAGCTACTATTTGTTCACCAAACCTCTCATCCTATCAAGAACTCAAACGATATGGATTGCATCACATTGCAGTGGTGAGGGAGAAGATACACCGATTTAAATTTTTTGATAGATTCCCCTGATTAACATATAAATATTTGTAAATAAATAAATTTATGACTCGGAGCAGCCAGACAAATGTGTCCAATTTCCTCCTATAATCCAGACACTTCAAGTAGGAAAACTGAAAGGAACTACTCCTACTTTAGCGTCTTTAGAGTTTCTTCGATCAGTTTACTCTTCGCTTATATACCTAAGTTAAGCAAAATATTAAATCCTTAACTCAATGAAAATGTATAACACACCAGAACAATGTACAATTCTAGCGAAAAATCTAATGTTCCTCATTATGTACATCATCGCTAGCCTATATTTTGAAAGTATCCAAGAAAAAATTTCTTATCCACAAGCTACAAATGACATAAGATAAGAAGTTCATGAAAAATATAACTATATTTAGTCAGCACTAAAAATAACAAAATTGCAGCAAAAAGGAAGTAGGAGAAACCTTGGAGAAAATGGGCACATGGACCTTTAGTCGTTTTGGTGTACGAGATGTAAGGCTGGTGCTATGCTCTAGGCAAATTGGGTTTCTTTTGTGTTGCATCATATCTCCTTCTATTGCTTCAGTTAGATGGGAAGTATCAACAATCCAATCCTATATAAAAGAAAAATAAATGGATATTAGGATATTAATGCATAGACAAATATTTTGGAAATTACCCTGTTATCTCAAAATATTGACATAAAGTGTTTTTAGATAAGAGGAGAAGAAAACGATTTAGAAAACTACAATTACAAAGAAAAGAGAAAAGAATGCAAATAAGCTACTTTAAAAAGCATTACCAATCACCAATATAGCAGCAAGAGATAGCAATAGAACACTACACACACAAGTCCCAAAGTAAAGGAAGATTTTCATATCATTTTTTTTCCCCACAAGTGAGAACAATAAAGTTTTGAGCTTTAATCCCATCAAACACCAAATTGCCAAGAACCAATTTTTTTTTCCAATTATCACAAAGTAAATAGCAAGTAGAAGTAAAAAAATTATAATCCAACATAAGCATTTAGCCATCAAGATGTTTTGAGCTTTCCTCCCAGGCTTGTGTGGGGTTACAAGATCTTTTACGTGGGAGAATTGTTCATGTGTATGTACAGAAGCTTGGGTTTCAATAGAATTTAGTTTGATGCCATCTTTCTGTTCAGTATTCGCATAAATACAACATTACTATTTACTCAAACATTAGCGATAATTTAAATGCTAAAGGTTAGAAGACTTATCTTAGACCTACTGATAGACCAGTAGATCAATTCGAGTATAAGTAAATGGAAATCCTTAAATTCCAAGCTAAATCCACAAGAGCCCTGAAAATTGATTCTGATGAGAAACTCATACATGAACAGAGGAAATTCAAAAGAATTCCGATAAAGAAACCCACAAAATTAATTTCGACAGGAAAAAGATCAAATTAATTACTACATGTGATAAGATACAACAAAAATTTGAATCTGAATAATTTTTTGACAATCCAAAGTAGAACATGAAAAGCATAATCACTCAACCAAAATTGAAAACACAACTATTGAAATTATTGGTACTTCCAAATACAAGGATAATTCAACATCAATAACAAACCCAAATGAAAAAATAAACAAACATTCACACACACCCAGATTAAATTGGAACTTCAACTTTAACGAAAAGGAAAATGGCACAAAAAAAAACTCAATTGAAATATGAAAGAACTTACATGGAGAATGTTGAAGAGAAAGAACTGAATTTGTGCACAGAAGGTGGAGCATGAATGAAGATTACAAACAACATAATGTATACATTGATAACATAGAAGAAAGACACGTAGGGAACTGAAAAGACAAATTGATAGCATGGGAAGAAGACACGTAGTCACAATAGAGAATGACAAAGACAAAAATATCCTGAGAGCAATGAAACAGGCATGTTGAAACAAACCTTTTCTAATATATATATATATATATATATATTAAAGTTCCCACGTATTAACCATTTGTAAAATTTATTATATATAAAAAATTAATCGATATTTTAAAATTTGAGGTGGAAAAAAAGCTTTAAGATCTAAACAAATAAAGTTAAATAAATAAATAAATTACTATTGAAATATTTACTTTGATAGAAATAATTAAATTCAAAATCTACGTGTAATATAAGATAAAGCCAAGCATTTAGGGATAAGTGATAACAGTTATCTTAAAAATAGTAAAGGTGTAACTTATTTTTTAATTTCTATTTATTTAGAAATATTTTTATTGAGCACGTGGAAGGAAGTTCAAAGGGTAATAGAGACACGGTGAACTGATGTGATTAGAGAGAGGAGGCAAACGAAAGATTCTCATTAGCATTTATGACAAAGTAACTTTGAAATTATTTTCTCACAAAAAGCTGAAAATCTTTGAAACGGTGAATTATGTTGATCTCTTTTAATTACAGGTGCACAAAAATATCAATTTTAAAGTTAGGTTACTTCAACACTTTATAGTAAAGAAAAAAATATATATATTTTACAAAACACTTTTTTGATGTTTTATTTTTTCTCTTGGAGCATTTGAAACAAAGTTACCAAATTATAAACTTTAGATTTTTTTTTGTATTTATTAGCTCGTATGATTTTACCTCCATTACTAACAATCTCAATGATATATTATAGTTATTTATATGACAAGATTTTGATTGATAAAATAGAAAGTTTGTTCATCAAAATTACTATTTTTTTTTCAATTGTCAAAAATTAGTTGCTCCTTTTATAGAAAAAATACTTATACATTAACTTTGTACCAGATGATCGCAAATTTTAACTGGTGGGCAAGTTGCAGATTGAAATTGGTGATAAAGACTGTAAAGGTTAGAGTTCTTTTTTCATATTTAAGAAATACCTTAATCTCAAATAGCAAAATTTAATTCAACATTTTTTTTACTTATTTTACATATTTTTGAGGATAAATGTTATCACTAATTTAAAATGACAATTCAGTAGAATAAAAACTGACGGGAAATTTGAAAATATTGTATCCATTTTTTAAAATATAAATCTTATTATCAGATCGTGTATATAAAAAAACGAGAGGAATAAAAAATAATATGAAAACTTACATACTATATTATCCTTGATATCACAAGCCATCTCATTCATTACGATGAATAAATACTTAATAAAAAGGAATAAAATTAATATAAAATGATAAGTTATCTCTTATATTTTAATTATAAGTGAAATAAGTATTATTTTTTTTATGAATACTCGATTCCCTAATTATCATCAAAATCAATAATTTTTGTACAATCTGTTTTCTAGTTATATATAAATTATACGTGCAACAGTGACAGATACCTTTTAACATCAGAACAAATTTAATTAAATAAAAGTTATACGAATTTCAGTAAAAATGACTAGATTTTATAATCTCAAAAAAAATATTACGTTATTTTATTCACGAAAAAAATTCTTTTTCTTATTTACGTTTCATTTTTGAATCTTAATAAATTCAAAATTCTAAATTAAATATATATTTGCTTTTAAATTTGGGTTTAACGATAAAAACATATCTTGAAATATTTTTAAATAGTTAATTGACAAATTAAGGTTTAAAATTTAAATTTAATACTAAAAAGTTTTGAGATGGTTACAATGTTTCCACTTAGTCTTGATTGTAGAAGTTTTAAAATTTCAATTTTATTACAAGATAAACACAATATTTATAGATAAAGATTTAAAATTTTTAATTTAATACTTATAATTTTAAAGATGGTCAAACTTTTTCTCTTTGTCGCAATTGTAGAAGTTTTAAACTACAAAAAACATATATTTTTTTTAAAAAAGAGTTAATTTAATCAAATACAAGTAAAAATAAAAATAATTTTAGGACTAACATATTTTAGAAACCAGGCAAGTTATAAGGCAAAAATTATTATGGACGAAGAGTCATTCAAAATAACAAAATTCTATGAAGAGTAATAAACCAAACATTGTCTGAGGATCTTATTGCACCAAAGTGTGCATGTGCCATGTCTAGTATTACGAGAATTATATTAGACAATATTAATAATATTAATTTAATGTGATAAATAAGTTAATGATTGGCATTATTACTTTTAAAATATACATTGTTAAACAGACAATAAATTTTAATTATTTTAAATTTAAAATATTATTATATTTTAAAATAGTCGCGCAACACACGCGTACGTGTACTAGTATACATAACTATGTAGGTGTGCTACGCATGATAATAAAACTGAGGATAAGACTTAATTTTCCAAGGAAAATATGTGTCCAAAAGTAGATGACACAGACAAATATATTTAAAAAATATGACAAAGGACAAATATTATCCATTTGAGAGAGTATAGAGACAAATATGATTATTTTTTGTATTTTTTTTATGACACACTAATTTAAATATAATTTAAATAAATATCATAGTATAAAATCTTAATTGCCTTTTATTCATATTATTTTTATAATTACATAAATTTTACACTTTTTAACATTTCAGATACATAATTAAGGATACAGATACATTATTATTGATACATTATGTATCAATATGTTGCAATCAGTAAGGAAAAAAAACTATTAAATCAATTTAAAATCTCATAGTATCCATTTATTTAACTAATTAAGGAGGAAAAAGCTGAAAATTAAATTAAGATCCCATAAATTACGTTATTCCATTCAAAATTATTATCAAGAATTCAAAATCTTATAATGTAACAAACAAAAAAACTAAAAAAAAAATAAATTTCTTCTTCTTGTTCATCGTTCTCTCTGTTTCGTAAAAAAAGTTGTCGAAATTTTGAAAAGTGGAATGAGTTATGAAGGATTGTGTGAAATTATTGTTGGACAAATGATTTATTTTGTAAATCTTCGAATTCATCGAATATCTTTTCGATTTTGATTCAAGATTATCGAAAATTTTGAGATTCTAAATTCTTCTCCAGTTCATTGAAGATCCTATCCTTTTGATTCAAAATTGTTGAAAATTTTGAATTTCAAAATTATTCTACTAGTTATTGAAGATTCTTTCAATTTTAATTAAAAATTATCAAAATTTTCGAGAAGATACATCATGAAGATCCTTTCAATTTAAATTGATAAGTGTTGAATTTCTACTAGGTACACTAAATAAGAAAGTGTTGCCCATAAAAGTTTAGGTTTGAGATCAATACATTATTATTTAGTAATTGTTATGAAACATATACATTTAGTATAAATTTGAATTCACGTATCATAACTAAAAAATTAGTACATGATATGTTATTATTTATGTATGTTCTTTTGTTTGATTTCATGAAGATCCATTCGATTTGAATTGATAAATATTATATTTTTACTAGATATATTAAATAAGTAAGTGTTGCCCATAAGATTTTAAGTTTGAGATCGATACACTATTGTTTGGTAATTGTTATGTATCAGATACATCTAGTATAAATTTGAATTTACGTATCATAACTAAAAAAATAGTGTATGATACATTATTATTTATGTCTGTTATTTTATTTGACAAACACTACACTTTAAATTATTGAAAAAATACATTATAGTAATTGTTTGAGATCGATAAGTTATTGTTTGGTAATTGTTATATATCAGATAAGTATAAATTAAATTTACGTATCATAACTAAAATAAGCGTTGATATATTAATCGTTAAGTAAGATACATTAGATTTTATACATGATACACTAATCTGATGCGCGAGATACATTAATCTGATGCGTTGATACATTAATTTAATGTGCGAAAATAAGAAATTTGTAAAACTATAGATTTAAAGCTCGAGTCTGTGTCCTTCCTCGATGTCTCCGTTCACAAATGTATCACGAATATAATTTGGTATTGTGTACGGATACATATTCTTTTAACTTTGAATAACCGTAGAAGATACATAACAACACATACATGATAAAATGATACATTTGGTAGAGACTACTTCTTTTCATTTCATAATGTAATTTCACCATCAAAAGAGGATTTCCTGGAAACGATGTTTTTGCAAGAAGCAATATGGATACATCATCTCTTTTATCTTTCCCATATGCATATTGTGAAGGTGAAAAGAAGGAGGATCCGGTAATTCTTTGGAAAAAAATTGCGAAGCAAAAACTTGTTCTTTTTTTTTTGAAAAAATTGTGGAGCGATATTACTGAAAATAGAGCGAATAAATCTGAAAGTTAAAAAATTAAGGAAGTAAAGATTGAGGGATGAAAATAGGAAGAGATAGAGTGAGTGAAAATAGAAAGAGGTTGATGGAGTGAAATAAGGAGTAAAATAGAAAAAAAATATATATAACTTAAAGTATCTGGAACATTGCGTTTGAAAGAAAGAAGAGGAATTCTAGAAATATTTTTAAATAATAGAGAATAATAGAAATTATAAAAAATAAAAATATTTATATATGTAAATTATCCTTATAATGTGCTATATAAGTTTCATCATCATAACAATCCCAAAGCCCATTTCCTTAATAAAATCTTATATAACCCACTATATGTTACTTCGCTTATTGTAATTTACGTGATACATTTTGAAATTTAAATAAATTTATTTTTGCTATGAATTTTTTATATATCTTTTTGAATTGTCAATTATTATTACTTATAATAGTTTTGTTAGGATTCTACCCTATTTTTTTTCTGTCATATTTGAGTTTTAATTTTTCTCTTGAAGAAAAATAGCATAAAATTATTGTTTTTAGTTTTTCGAATAAAAAAAAATAATTTTCTTTTATATTTGGTTATTTTTTTCTTAGCAGAAAATTTTGGAGATTTATAAATTGAATATCTCATTCTCATATCATAACATAATACAATTCATAATGTAGTCCTTTAGAAAT